ACCACAGTCTTAGTCTGGGATGTTTAGACTCTGATATTTTCCCATATGATTTTGATACAGTATTTTGACACAATGTTTTGAGATACACGATTTATGGTTTTCTTTATGATGATGGATGACTTACGGTTTTATTATAATTGTTGTTAAAAAGAAATTTTTGGTGTGTATTTTTGGGATGTTTATTCTGGTCGATCCGGTCAAGATAGAGGTCGTGATGCAGTGGGAGGTTCCGAGGTCTCCAACTAAGATTCGAAGTTTTCTTGGTCTAGCGGGTTATTATAGGATATTCATCCAGTATTTCTCCAAGATCGCCGTTCTCTTGACCCGACTGACCAAGAAGTCGGTTATATTCCGCTGGGGGCTTGAGTAGCAAGCGGCCTTTGAGACTCTCAGACAGTGGTTGTGCGAGACACCGATTTCGACTCTGCCCGAGGGAGTACATGTAACGCCCGTCTACGGGCGTTATAGTACATGACTTCGTGGTGTATTGTGACGCGTAGATCATGGACATGGGTGCAGTTCTGATGCAGAGGGGTCATGTGATATTCTACACGTCGAGGCAACTGAAGCCTCACGAGGCTAACTATACGACGCATGATTTGGAGTTGGCGGCAATGGTGTTCGCCCTTAATATTTGGCGGCATTACCTATACTGGGTTCGTTGTACCATTTACATGGACCACAAGATTTTGAGGTACCTCATAGATCAGCCGAATCTGAACATGAGGCAGCGCTAGTGGTTAGATATGGTAAAGGATTATGATTGTGACATCTTTTAACCCGGGCAAGGGCAATGTGGTGGCCGAATCCCTGAGCCGCAAGATATTAGCGGCTCTGATTAGAGACATATGTTTGAGGATGACGATGATCACTCCATTGTTGGAGCAGATTAGAGAGGCGTAAGTTGAGGGCCTAAAGGAAGAGCGCCATAAGTGTGAGAGGATTGTAGGCCGGGTGGCCTTGTTCGAATGTGATAGCTGAGGATTGTTGACCCCATATAGGAGGGTCTGGGTTTCGTACTGGGGCGGAGTACGACAGGTTCTTATGGATGAGGCCCATAAGTCGAGGTTCTCCATCCATCCTGGGGGGAGGAAGAGGTATCGAGATATTCGTCGTGGTTATTGGTAGCCCTGTATGAAGCGGGACGTAGTGTGGTATGTGGAGAGGTGCTTGACATGTAGAAAGGTCAAGGCTGAGCACCATAGACCGCACGGAAAGATGCAGTCGTTATACATTCCCGTGTGGAAAATGGGAGTATATCACCATGACTGCACGTGGAGTAGATTCGATATGGGTCATCGTGGATCGGTTGACCAAGAGCGCTCATTTTATCCCGATCCAGGAGAGCATATTGGCCGAGAAGTTGGCCGAAATATATGTGCGTGAGATAGTGGCACGCCTGTCTCGGTGGTGTTAGACCGAGATGTCTGTTTCATTTCCAGATTTTGGAAGCGGTTTCACGAGGAGATGGGTACTCGTCTCCACTTCAGCACCGCTTTCCACCCTCAGACACACGGACAGAGCGAGAGGATGATACATACTCTTGAAGACATGCTACGCACACGTGTGTTAGATTTCGGTGGCAGTTGGGATATGTATCTTCCGTTAGCAGAATTTTCCTATAACAACAGTTACCACGCCAGCATAGATCGACCTCCCTTCGAGATGGTCTATGGGAGGAAGTGTAGGACCCCAATCTGTTGGGGTAAGGTCGGTCAGAGAGTTATGGGGAGTACTGAAGTAGGACTCAAGACTACTGAGAGGATCCAGCAGGTCCGGAGCAAGCTCCAAACTGTTCGGAGTCGGTAAAAGAGCTACGCAACAAGAGGCATTCATACTTAGAGTTACAGATGGACATAATGGTCCTACTGAAGGTGTCACCCTGGAAGGTTGTCATTCGTTTTCGGAAACGGGGAAAGTTGGGCCCTAGGTACATCAGTCTATTTAGAGTTTGGCCCAGGTGGGTCGGGTTGCTTACCAGTTAGACCTTCCAGCAGAGGTCAGCCAGATCTACAACACCTTCCATGTTTCTCAGTTGCGGAAGTGCTTAGTGGATGATTCAGCAGTGGTACCCCTTGAGGATATTTAGGTTGATGACGGCTTGAATTACATTGAGCATCCTCTATCTATCCTTGACATGAAGTCAAAGGAATTGAGGAATAATAGGGTGGAGTCGGTAAAGGTGCAATGGCAGCATCGCAAGGGTTCGGAGTGGACTTGGGAGCCCAAGGAGGAGATGAGGGAGCACTACCCAGAGTTGTTTTCAGAGGCAGCAAACTTCGAGGACGAAGTCTAAGAGAAGTGGGGGAGAATTGTAACGTCTAGTTCCTAGTACGCATTTTAACCTTATTATTTATTTATTTTGGAAGGGCTACTTGACGAGTTGGTGGCCCTAACTCGTCGAGTGGAAGACAGAAAAGGCACGGGTTTTAAGTGAGCTACTCGACGAGTCGAAGTCCTGACTCAATGAGTAGGACAGACTAGATGAAACCCTAATCTTTCGGGCTTTCACCCTATTTAAGCATCATATCTGGCCTCCATCGCAGCCTCCATCACCTCGAAACCCTAATCAACCTTGAGTGATATTGAGTTATTTCTTTCCATTTTTGTGATTAAAGCTAGAAAAAGGAAGCAAAAGGCTTGGAGTTGCAGAAGATCCAGAGCTAAGGACTCATTTCTATCTTCATAGAGGTATGAAGCTTATACCTTGGTTGTTATTCACTTAGATCCCTTTCTAAGCTTGTATGTTGTCATGTTGGGTCATTTCCAAGGTCATTCCAAGTTTTGGACCTTTGGGGATGTAAGGACTTCATATATGGGAACTCTTGAGCTTTGGAAGCTTAAAGTTTCCACCTTTATTCAGCCATGGCTCCATTCTACAACTTAGACATTCATTTTGGCTTGGATTGGGTGTTTTAGATTCATAACACCATGCATGCACGTAAAGTTAGCAACTTTACGTGTAATACTAGTCTAAGGAGTCCAGATCTTTGATTTAGAAGCACTAGAATGGATTAAAATTGACTGAATAGATATCTCACATGGAGGACTCGATGAGTTGTTCTTGGACTCGGCGACTTGGTTCGGGAACCCTAACTCCTTTTCTGGTTGTGAGTGAAACCATTGAGTTTTGGGAGATGACTCAGTGAGTTGGATAAGATTAGGACTCGGAAGCTGAAGAACTCAGCGATTTGTAACACCCATAAAAATCATGTCAAAGTTGAACTTTTAAAAACATTTCAAAACCATTAAATCATTACAACTTGTTTTCAAAATGTTTAATATCAGAATTTTCCCATAAACATAAACAAAACATGAGGAGTTGTACGATCACGCCTTCTCCTTGCCGTGATCCCCTGATGTACCTGAAACAATAAACTGAAACTGTAAGCTCGAAAGCTTAGTGAGTTCCCCCAAAATACTTATACCCACAACAATACACATATAATCATAAACAACACACTACAGTCAACCATCGGGTTGGAATACCCCATGCCCACAACCAACAGGTTGTAATGCCAACATACTATGGGCCCAATCATCCTCAGGATGGAATACCCCAGGCCCACAACCAACAGGTCGGAATACCTACATACAATGAGTCTGATCATCCTCGGGATGGAGTACAAACGGCCCACAACCAACAGGTTGGAATGCTTAGGTCTATTGACCTCCATACAAAGCAGATAAGCCTCAACCGCCAAACAAACATGTGCACATATAACAAATAATCACATAACAATCTATATACAAACAAACCGATATAACTGATCATAGCCACATAACACACAATACCATCCTATCTACCAGGATATCGATCTAACAAATCATACTAGCATAACATAACCAGACAATAATCCAAAGGGCCAGCCTTGGTGCCTTAGACCCTTGAGTCTAGTGAGGATAACTCACCTCGCAATTAGTGTCGAAGTACCGTAAATCTCTAACTGCTGTCTCACCGGGAATCCCAAACTATTACATAATAATTACTAAGTTAATACCCAAAATAACCTTCTTGACTAAGTGTCCACACAGCTCATTAAATCCATTCTCTTTATTGGGCCAAAGCCCAATACCAAGTCCTTAACTTGAAGATCCATATATATAAAGCCCATTATTGGCCCAATTTACTAAATTGGGCCTAATCCCATGATCCATTATCACTACTTGGCCCAAAATATCTTAACCATAAAGTCCAGAAAAAGCCTAAATCCAATTAGTCCATAAACAACTCAAAACCTGAAGCCCATTTGGCTGGAAAACGCATCACCTCTGGTGGTGTTTCTTGGCAGTGAAACGGAGAGAGAGAGAGAGAGAGAGAGAGAGAGAAAGAGAGAGAGAGAGAGAGAGAAAGAAAGAAAAAGAGAGAGTGTGTGTGTGTGGGGGGGGGGGGAGGGGGTCTCATTCTTGATTTGTTTAACATTTATAATTAAATAAAAGAAAAAGAATATTTAAGTAAATAGAAAAAAACAAATTAAAAGGGCAAAGTAGTCTTCTCAACTTTATCGGGGACCAATTCTGCAATGAAAGTAGCCTAAAAGGACCACGAAACCAAAAAAGTTATGGTTTGGATTAAAACCCCCAAAAAAATCATACCATAGAACTGTTTTTGTAATTTTTTCAATTAAATATAATAATTACAATAAATATAGTAATAAATGAATATCAATTTTTATTAATGAACTTACCTTCTTATTTTAAAATTTTCAAATTAAAAATTATTAGTTTATTTTGTTTATTTATTTATATTTAAAAAGTAAAAAAATCAATTTTAATAATTCATTATTTTTTTTTTTTTTACTTTTTTATAAACTCAAAATTTTTAAACATTTAAACATTCGTATTTAATTTTTTTAAATTAATCTATGTAGTACGCAGTTATTACTAACTAGTACTATACTTGCAACTACTGCTATATTGATAAGATGAAAATTTTTTAATCTTGCCAAATTCCTTAAGAAATATACATAAAAACCAAGAATATTATGAAATGTTGGTGGGACCCATGCGAGAAATTGGTGTCACAACATGCCAAAATGATGAGTTAGCCGTTGAAGCGTAACGTTTACACATGCCTCCACCCCTCCACGCTCTCATAAAGACGATAGTAGAATTAGAATATCCCCAAAACCCCTCGTTCACACTCTAACCTGCACTTAACAATGGCGGATGAATTCTCATTCACAGACAGTGATGACGAAAGGGCAGTTGAAGATGTTCTCTCACAAGCAATGGATCACTCTGTTCTAGAACAAATCGCAGCCATCAATTGCTCTTCTTTCTCCACCTCCGATAACCTCCCTTCCAACCTTGAAACCAGATTCCGAAAACTTAAATCCCTTCCTCCCACTACCACCATCACCGCCTCCGCCACTGCCGGTTCTCGATTTCCTCCCTCTAAGTCTAAATCCCTTGGGCCTCGACCCGGTGACGATTCTAATGTAGAAGAACCAAATCGTGACTTTTGCAGTTTCGTTGATTTAAAGCAAATTCCAGATGCGAAGAAGAGTCCGGAATCGTCTCCTTCTACCGAAAATCAAGAAGAACATTCCGACGGAAACATAGATGAGAAAAAAGGTACGAAATCGAATACGAAATCAAACTCCAAGGCGTGTAAAAAGGAGCGATCGAAATCAAAATCTCGGTCTGATTCGTGGAGTCTATCGTCGCCGGAGTCAGAATCCGAAACTCGGTCTCCTCCACGGCGGAGTATTGGTTGTTTATGGTGTTCTCCCAAAAAGGAGAAGAGTGTTCTGAGGAAACAGGGGAAGGAGAACCGACTTTTCTCATCATCATCATCATCATCGTGGGGGAATGATGCTGATTTTCTGAAGACGTTTTCGGTAGAAGAACAGAAGAAGATCATGAAAAAGGCAATGAAAGAGGAAGAGAAGATCAACAGAGAAGCTGAGAAGATCGTGAAGTGGGCTAAACAAGCATCTGCAAGAATGATGGATGTTTCTGGTCTTGATGATGAGCTCAGTGACTTTGAAATCACTAGTAAGTAACTTGGTTGTAATCAAAGTCATATACACAATTTTACACCAAAATTATATAGTTTTATGTTTTGTTTATGTCTTTGATGCTCGAAACCCGATCTCAATGTAGTAACCGACACTAAGAAAGATTATTACATATTGTCGATAGCTCGATTCAATAATATACACTGAAGGCTTCTTTCCACGCGCCTCTGAAGCTCATGATCTCAACCATTGTTGGATAGGTCCATATGAATGTAATACTTTTGTTTCCGTTCAAGAACAATTCTTAGGTCGTGTCTTAGGAAATTGGTCTCATATTATCAAGAAACTTTTGAAGTGATTCTTCTTTGGAGGTGTTATTGTGTTTGAATTACACTAAGAGATTTATTTTACTTTGACATGTACCCAACTATTGTACAACCAACCTTCAACTTTGAGCTATTTAGGTAGGTTAATACTTTACCAATTGTATCATATACAATTCTTGGATCTTTATTGGACACCTTATGTATAACCTAGTCCTGTGATAACCTTCATAAGGGCATAAGATTGGGATCAATAAACCTACTTGATTGGAAGCACAAACGAATAGAGCTTCGACAGAGAAATATACCTTCAAGAAAGAAGAAACACATGTAGTAATCGGATCCCTGTAGAAAAACCCATTTTGGAAAAGTTAGTAAGCAACCAACGCCAAGATTGCTAGTCGAGGTCCGATTACGTGAAAATGACAAAGCCTCGATAAACTCGAAGAAGATCCGATCAGGCATTGTACGTTCTATTCCAAGTAAACCCTTTGTTATAAATACAAGAGGTATCATTTACAAAGTTGTTCAATACTTTCTTATCTGTGCATTCCATCCTTGAATGATCCTAGTGATGGAAAAACCAGTCACAACGGTAAATAACAATGCGGAAATAAACTTCGTTTGGTTAGACTTTCTCGACTCGAATGAACTTTTGAGGAGGGAACCAAATAGGGCATTTTATATGCGACCAAAACAGCCCAATGAAATTTGTATGACCAATATAATCATCTCAAAACAGTTGTAATCAACCATAAAGAGACATCGAAATTTTAGTATGGAAACCTCTAAAAAATGAGATTAAAACCATAGGACCACTAGAGCCGTTTCAAATCCACGATCACCAATATCAGAGAAATACAATTTATTTTCTTGATGTACTAGAGACATACAATAACATCATATACTCTGAAATAACAACTTCAAATATATGGAATCAAACAACATAAGAGACTAGAAGAGATAGAAATAAAGATTGCTAAAGAGACATCACATATGACTATTTAGATAACTTATGCTAAAAGGTACTACTATCCATATCTTTTTTTTTCTAACTTTACCCCTTCAATCATAACTTATACCCCTTTTTTTTCTAACTTTATCCCTTCAATCATAACTTGTTTGGAAGTTGATTTGTATATAATTTTTTTTTTTCAGCTTTTTCTTATTTTCATATTTTTTATCCAATAAATAGCAACTATTACATAGAAAACATTAAATTCATATTTTGCTATGTATTCAACTTTTCCCTATATATATCGATCATATAAATATATTGAAGACTGTGTTTTATTTTTTAAAAGACTAAATTATCAGATTATGAACAACTACAATTACATTGAACATTGAACACCATTAATCCATTTAAACAACCAATAAACCACAACATTTTATATAAACTGAAAATAAAACATTTAATCAATATATTAATAATAATCATCAAAAAATATGTTCACCACCGAACCAACTTCAATCATCGAACTGCCACCGACAAAAATTAACCGGCGGTAACCAAACCACGCCGGAGATAGAAAGGGAGAGAGAAATCGAAAAAAAAGCATCGGAACCACCTTTACCATTGTTAAACACTCTTTATCATTGTCAGCCTTCATTTACGCTGGAGACATAAAGATAGATTGTCAAAAAGAAAGAATGAGAGAGAGAGATCGTGAGAAACACGACAAAAACGCTGTGAGAAAGACTGCCGACGAAGCTTCAGAAAAAGTAGGAGAAGCTGCATGAAACAACCTACCATTTGATCGGAGTAGAAAGTAAAAGGGGTGCATGAAATAACCTACCATTTGATCGGAATAGAAAGTAAAAGGGGGTATAGATAGCCTATGCGTATGCTAAATAGACAACCCATAATAATTATATAATGATTATCTAGATTATTATTTGTTATTTCTAAATAACTATTTTTATTAACTTTTATTAACAAACATAATTTTTTTAATCTTATGTACATGTGCTTTCTTTTCTCTATTGGAACAACTTTTTGTTTTTTGATACTATAAAAATAACAAACACTATTAATAAATATATTTATAAAGTTTGTTCTAATTAATTTAAGTATATGCTTATAATAGACTACGAGTGTTTAATCATTTTTATTAAATTTATAATCTAATTATTGTATAAGTAGATAATTATTGTTTGTTATTTCTAAATAATCATTTTTATTAACTTTTTATTTTAAATGATATTATCTAATAATTAAAAACAAATAAATACATAAACATAAAAATGTGAGACAAACTTTAATCATTCGATAATCATCTAATTTAACAATTCTTCAAATACTAGACACAAATAATATTCTTTAACAATCTTCTATAGTTATAAATCCACGATTACGAGGTTTCAATTGTCTGTAAAATTATAGACGTGACATAAACATCGTTTCCCATCCAGCTGCACACAGGGCTCTGTGGCGGATCCAATAAGACCGAAATGGTAGGCATCAAACAATCTTCTTTTAGTTGTACCATAACATAATGATTACCATGTACAAGTGAAATCGTAATAATCTAAGGGTACAAAAATTCTTCCGGACCTTTCCAAAGAGGAAAGAAAGTTAGGTAACCATGCTCGGTTAAGAAAGTAAGGATCACACCAAACCTGTTGGCAATTAGAATACTAAGCATTCGATGTTTCTTTGGTGCACGAGATCCAAAGAAATACAATGAAGTCCACAGTTCATGAATTCCATTTGTGAAAACCGTAGCGTATGCATCGAATGCACTCTATAATTCGTATACCAGTTGTTTTTTTAACGTATAGCCATTGATTTTCGCCATACCCAAGACAAACAGATATTGCTCGAAATCAACAATTTCCATCACCTTCAACATTTTGTATATGTAAGACGTATGGATGAAACATGTGTGGAATTTCATCCGTTAATGGATGAATGTAGTATGGTTGAGGATCTTGGTTCAAATCCGGAATTTCATTCAAGTCTGGAATTGCATCATTCAAGTTTGGAATTGTAGTTACATATGAACTATGTCTAGCCAGTTCCTTGTCCATCCGTGTTAGATCTAGTCCATTATATTTCGATGTGGTTAAATTGCTACGTCTTCTGGGAGCTTGATTTGTAGAATCAACCCATTTTTGTTGTTGTTTCTCAAGCCTGGTCAAGGTATTTTTTTTGAACTGCGAGTTCCTTAATACATGTTTTACTTGGTAGGAGCATATCTCTTAGCTTTCATATCATACTTTTTTCCCTACTTCTTTCTGCTAATAGAAGTTTTCTTTAATCATTTCTAAATCATCCTCATAACGACTATCATTATTTGTTACAGAAGCTGACTCTGGTAAATCAAGTTTTCTCCTGAATATATCTATTGAATCCAAAAGAATATACTCACTTGTATTAAAATACCATTATTATATAAAAATTCAATATATTAATTAAATTTAAAAATTATTTGTTGAATATACTCACCTAAGTTCAAGTAAACCGATAACATGCATGGACATGGTAAGCCACAACTAAGATGTAGTTTACAACCACAGTTTGAAGAGTCAATTTGATTTTCACTCAACCGATGAAGTTCCCCAACTAGTTTACTGAGAGCTTCATGTGACACAAAACCATGTAATATTCTAAAACATGACAAGTCTTGTTCCCGTTTAGAGACAATTTTGCTCTTTTCAAGACTATCATATATCGACGTAAGCTGATACCTCACAAATCGATCAAGACAACCAATAAGTTTATCAAGAGAAGAATTTGTGTCATCCAAGTATTTCTTCAAGTGCTAAATGTGCGCTCTCAACTATGTTTGTAGTTTGTTGTCCAAAGTGGAGATGTTGATCAATCCTAAGACAAACATTTTCTTATATTTGTTTAACCAAAATTCATCCAGGTAATTTAAAAAATCTGAACTTATATATATATATATATATATATATATATATATATATATATATATAATCAATGTACAAGTCTCTTTATTTTATAACTAATTATCTATGATTTTAGATTTTTTATACATAAATAATGTGTGTGTGTATATACACACACACACACATCTATATATATACACACACACACACACACACACACACGCACAGACACATACGTTTTTTATGTATAAAAAAATCTAAAATCATAGATAATTAGTTATAAAATAAAGAGAGTTGTACCTTGATATTTAGTCAACATCGATTGGAGTGTTTTGTAGTTTTCAGTGTACAATATCCACGTTGGAGAGTCAACAAGTATAGTCCACATTAGACGAAAGGATTTCCACTCATATTCCAACCTAAATCTACTCCTCCAACACTTTCTAATATTCTCAGCAATGTGGCATCTACAAAGTAACCGAGTGGCACCAGGAAAACTTGTTGACATGCGTTCATCAATGCTAATTCCCTGTCTGTCGCTCTAATGCATAGGTGGATACACTTGTCTAGTGTGGATTTTAGACACGTTAATACCTAACTATAGTTCTCCTACTTTTCATTAATGATGAAGGCAATGTTGTTAATCAAACTAATAGACGCGCAAGGAAACCGACAAATAATATTGAGAATTATATGTCGATTAGTTGCGAATAATAGATCCAATTATTATTATTATATTACCGAGTTTCGTCTGGAAACCAGATCTATCCTTCTCGATTAGATCCGATTATAAGAAAGGTAGAAGAAGACTGTCCTGTTATTGGACGAATTAAACACAAGACAGAAAAGTAAAACCGACATGTTGATTGCTGACTTGATCTTGAAGCAACTGCACGGATCAGATTCCTGTCCTTAAAGGTTTTTACTTTGCTTGTATTGGTTGTAAGTAACAGAGTAAAACCCCAGGATTTAATGCAGCTAGATCGATATTCCAACAGCACTGGAAATCGAAAAACACAAAGCGACTACTCGGAAACTAGAAGAAAAAACCGCAGAGAGAGGGAGAGCTTTCAGATTTTTGTAAGTATCCATATGGCTCCTAGGGAGCTATATTTATAGGTATCGTAATCCTAGAAGGCATCAAACGGGCCCCAGAAACCCTAGGGCGACAGCTTGCTCTCCAAGCAAGCTGTTTCCTGATCCTTCTAGAATACCCTGCGACCGATGCGTCGTGCGAAGTGCAAAGTGCGCCTAAATCGCGCCATTTCGCGCACTCGCGGCGTCGGCTAGTGCTAGGCTAGGCTAGGCGCGCGCGTGGGCTTGGCCCATTCCTTTGATCCACTAAAGCCTTTGAAGGCTTACCAAGGGAATAGGCTTATAAACCCACAAAAGTTTCTTCCCCCCACCAATGTGGGATACAAAGGAAATTGCCAACTTGCAATTCCTTTATATATAAAGTTCCAACAATCCCCCACCAAGTTGGTAAGTTTCCTTTCACTCAGACAGATGATGTCACTTGGGTGTCACGAAGATTAAACCCTAGTTTAATGAGAACAAACAAGAAGAGACCGATTCAATGGTATCCTTATAGGTTTAAACCATGAACCTCAATGACCTCTCCGGTTTACCCCCACACACCACAAGTCATATTTGT